GCCAACCTGCGGCTCGCGAGCCACATGCGGCTCTTTGAAGGATTATGTGTGGCTCTCGATAAATGTACCTAAGTTCCCTTTTCATTTTTGTGCTATTATATTTTAAAAAATTATTATCGTTCCATATGTGTTTCAAAATGTCGTTGAAATTACTGACGACAAATATGAAAGACTAATTGTAACGTTGTAACAAATTTCATTTCGGTCCAAGTTAAGAATAATATGACTCATCGAAAACTGCGCCATCGGAAATTGCGGCTCGCGAAACATTCCAAACTTTGAAAAATGGCTTGGACTATCAAGGAACTTGGCCACCGCTGATATACAGGTATGACATAATATTATAGCCATAAAAATGAAATTTTCGTACGCGGTCCTAATTCGATAACCAGGTACACTGTACACATATGTAAAATTTTGAATGCCAAGAAGTTAGAAATAATGATAATTATAAAAATTTGATGCAAATGTAATAGAATAATAATAACAGTAATAGAATAATAAAAAAAAACATTTATGACATATGTAAATATTTTATATTGCTTCTGATAATAACAGTATAATTATATTAATTACGAAAACACCTAAATTCAAAAGCTGACACAGAATAGCCATTAAAATCCGAAAATAAAACGGATATATAATATATTTAATGTTGTTTTGCAGAGAACGAAGCAATTAACTGAATAGCTCAATTAATTAAAGTAAATAGTACACTGCAGCAATTGGATTTTCAGACAATTTTTAGGAAAATAATAATTTTTCCAAGAACGAACATTCGCGTTTCGATAAATTTGGTTGACGGCAAGCGAACGTTTCCTATGGAACTTCAGACATACAATTTCACGCTTGAATTAAAGTACCTATCGACTGCTTTGGTTCGATAACGTTTGTTCGATATTCAGAAAACGTATCAAGACTATTACATTTTATTACGAGTTAAGGTAATTCACATGGAAATTTGTTTTTTATTCCGTTCATTTACGTAGTTATCAGTACCAAGGATCTCGAAAATATAAGATTCTTTAAGAATTAATTCCGAAAAAGTGAGCTCAGACTTTTACAAAATATTTATTACTATCATACGGAATAAACAAAATTTATTATTTACCCACATATGTTATATTTTAAAAATAAAATATAAAATTTAATTATTAAGGTTATATCCATATTAATTTCATCAGGAATAACTTTAACATGACATCAACAAAATGTCAATATCATGATCTTATATGTTCTTCAATCAGTTGCTGAATTTAAAAAAAAACCTTTACGTTTAGTGACACTGAATTTATAACTTGTTTAAGTTATAAGTTCGTTGTTTCTAATTACACAAACATTTGTTGCTTTTTAATTTTCGACCAACCAAGTGAAAATAACTTAAAAAGAATAGTATTTAATTCAAGTAAATTAAAAATGAATTGGAAATCAAATTTATATAAACTTGATATTCGCTATACCAAATGACGCATTTATGAAATCTCCAAAACAATTCTATTATAATAAATGATAATTCATTGAAATCAACCACAATTAACGTACATAATTACGAACAAACCGTTAAATAATTAACATTTAACAGGCAAGCTAAATTAACCAGAATTCCGTTTAAATCTTTGTAATTGCATCGCTTTTTAAGGAAACAATGTTAATGTTAAAACAAAACCATAAAATGCAACTGTTAATAAAGCTGCATCCGTTAAAAGCTTTCAAATTAAACTCATCATTTTATTCGCAGCAATTTAATAAATTTTCCCATGGCAAATTAATTGACTTACTTGACGCAGTACGCAACGCAATCGGCTGTAAATCTCTGATTACTTCCTGTGGCACTGCAGAACGATTCGAACTGTGAATTTCATCGAAACGAGTTGGTACCGCAACAGCCTGTTAAATTGAAATTCCATGTCTGTAGCACATCACGAAAAAAGGCATGTACATGGCGAAAAGTTGTGAATGCTTCGTTGAAAAGCAAATCTTAATCACCGTTACTTTTGTTATGGAAAATATTTTGTCGCGATGTACTTGCTTTTTAAGGTACTTTGTATACATACTATTTTTCTAAACGTTAAGAAATTAGATTTTATAGTGTACAAATCATTCATTAACGATTTTGGTGTTTCGAAAAGTGAAAAATTGGGAATTTGGAGATTTGATATTTGAGCAATTTGGGCATAATTGGAGAGTTTATAGATTTTGCAGGGTGGAGATTTTATAACGTAGAGGGTGAAGGTTTTGGAATTTGGTGATCGGGTAATTTGGAAATTTGCAAGTTTTACAAGATGGGGATTTTATAATATAGAGGGCGTGGAATTTGCAGTTTGATGATGTAGTAATTTGGAAATTTGCAAGTTCTACAAGATGGAGATTTTACAATGTAGAGGTTTTGGGATTTTGCAATTTGGTGACGTGGTAATTTGGAAATTTGCAAGTTTGTTACAAAATGGAGATTTTACAATGTAGAGGTTGTGGGATTTTGCAATTTGGTGACGTGATAATTTGGAAATTTTGCAAATTGTTACAAAATGGAGATTTTACAATGTAGAGGTTGTGGGATTTTGCAATTTGGTGACGTGATAATTTGGAAATTTTGCAAATTGTTACAAAATGGAGATTTTACAATATAAAGGGTGTGGATTTTGCAATTTGGTGACGTGGTAATTTGGAAATTTGCAAGTTTTAAAAGATGGAGATTTTACAATGTAGAGGGTGTGGATTTTGCAATTTGGTGACGTGGTATTTTGAAAATTTGCAAGTTTTATAAAATGGAGATTTTACAATGTAGAGGGTGTGGATTTTGCAATTTGGTGACCGTGGTAATTTGGAAATTTTGCAAATTGTTACAAAATGGAGATTTTACAATGTAGAGGTTGTGGGATTTTGCAATTTGGTGACGTGGTAATTTGGAAATTTGCAAGTTTTAAAAGATGGAGATTTTACAATGTAGAGGGTGTGGATTTTGCAATTTGGTGACGTGATAATTTGGAAATTTGCAAGTTTTACAAGATGGAGATTTTACAATGTAGAGTGTGTGGGATTTTGCAATTTGGTGACGTAGTAATTTGAAAATTTGCAAGTTTTACAAAATGGAGATTTTACAATATAAAGGGTGAGGATTTTGCAATTTGGTGACGTGGTAATTTGGAAATTAGCAAGTTTTACAAGATGGAGATTTTATAATGTAGAAGGTGGAGGATTTTGGAATTTGATAATGGAGTAATTTGGAAATTTGCAAATTTTACAAGATGGAGATTTTATGTTATAGAGAATGGGGTGTTTTGTAATTTGATGATAGGGTAATTTAGAAATTTTGAAATTAAAAGATTTCAGAATTCGAAATTTTGAGAATTTGAGAATGTGTGAATTTGAGAATTTAAGAATTCTGTGGTTTCGAAAGTTTCAAAATTGAAAATTTGAAAATATAGTAATTTGAGTGCTTTTAAATTTTGAAACTTGAAGATATGGAAATTTGAGAATTTGTAGGTCCGAAAATTAAAGGATTTACAGATTTGAAAATTGAGGAACTTGAGGATTTAGGGATCTGGAGATTTGGGAATTGGGGAATTTGAAAATTTTAAAATTTGGATATTTGTGAACTTGAAACATTAGGACAAAATTTTGTATTTCGAACTTATGAAATTTAGAGACTTGAGGATTAATGGACATGGCAGTTTAAAAACTTAAAAATTTGGAAATTATGAAACTTAAAATAAGAATTTGATAATTTGGAAGTTTGAAAGCTTGAAAACGGTAAAATTAAGAAACTGGGAATAGGAATTTGGAAATTTGAATGTTTGAAAGTTTGGAAACTGTAAAATTAAGAAACTTAAAATAGGAATTTCAAAATTTGAAAGTTTGAAAGCTTGAAACTATAAAATTAAGAAACTTCAATTTGGAATTTGGAAATTTAAAAGTTGATAAACCCGTAATTTCTAAATTGTTGTTTTTAAAATTTTTAATTCAAATATTTAGAGATTCGTGAATTTCAATACTTAGAGAAATAATGATTTAAACATTATTAATACCATCATTATAAAATAAAAATTTCTGACGACCCAAAAATCTGATGCCTTTGTTATTTAAATATCTGAACGTTTAAAAATCTAAAAATATAAAAGTTTGAACATTTTAGAATTTCCGTGGATAATTCTGAAATGTCCATCAAGTCTTTGAATATACAACAGAATTCCACCCACATGAAAAGTTCAGTTATGAAATACCGCACACATAATACACACTGAAAATGACTAAAACTGCATTTCATTTAACATTAAGAACTTTTAATGAACACATAAAGTTACGTAAATGAAAGTTTCCATATTTTTACCGCAAAAAAATAATACTTAAAAAATTTTGAATCGTTAAAACATTCGACTTGAATGATTTTTCTTCGGGACATATTTTTACAGCTTTAAAAAGTGAGTGATCAAAATTTGAAATTTTGAAAATGTGTGCAATAGTTATCACCGATGTGTACTTATAATTTTTTCAGTGCACACAAGGTAACTCTGAAGCAATAAAGGGATTCATTTTGTCTCGTTTGTATAAGGTGCAAATTAGAAAGCGTTCTCTGTAGTTGAAAAATATTTGCAATGGAAGGTAATGACGCAGTTGTCTGCATCATCAAACACACAATAGGTTTCCACGATGCAAACGTATATTATCCGATACGAACGTGTCACAAAAGAAAACCGATATTTCTTTCAAACTCTGCCACTTTTTTATTTTGAATATTTTTTAATAACCGCTCACGGCGATAGCTGCATTCACACAGATTAAACATGTCGTTCTACTTTATGAAAACCATTAAACAATATTTGAACAGCTGAAAAAATCGAGCACCTTTGTCGCTTCGCTATAAATTTAGATATAGATATTATTTTGAAACAAAAATTTGTGTGGAAGGTTGATTCAAGCTTGTGTAAGATATCGAAGTTTTGGAAAACTGTGCCGAACATTTTATAACAGTATTGAAACTGTTAATAAGTTGTTACGTAAACTTGTAATAAGTCATTACGTGAACTCGTGATTTATTACGTAAAGTTGTGATACTTTATTACGAAAATTAGGTCAATATGATTAAAATTATTGCTGTTAATGTTTGATCATGGAACTAAAAACTGACTCACCGGTTTTTGGGTTTGCGATTTCACCCCTTTCTGAACACTCTCCGCTTGAGTTTCCTCCATTACAATCCTGAATTTTTAATAAAAATTTTTAATGGTGAAAGTAAACATTGTAGAGTATACATATAACGTTCTATTCGTTGATAGTTAATATTATTTTTCAGTATTTATTGATTGATTGTTGAGTAAGTCGAATAAAAGTAGGCATAAAGATGTATCTTTAACTTCTGTAACATATGTTCAGGTTAGGTTACGTTAGATATTTGTAAATATTGTATTAATTATTTTAGTGTGTCAATTATTTATTTTAATATTATTCTTTTTATAGCTGCATAGCAACATTAAGCAAATAAATTAGAAAATTATAAGTCTATACAATTATAAAATTATAAAAATTAAAAAATTAAAAAATTATAAGATTATAAGATTGTGAAACTAAGAAAATTATAAACTTGTAGTTATAATAACAATTATAAAAATTATAAATTAGAGTATAATTAATATACAATGTCAAAAAAGTCAACAACTTTTGAAATTTGTATTCGCATGTGATATCTGATTTTTCAATTCAAAATACCTCACAATCTATTGTATTAAATATAACTATATTTCTAAACTTAATGAATTCGAAATTAAATATTTTTTAAATTTAATTTTGTTTCTTGATTATCCTTTTTTAATTTTGTATAATAATTTTTGTTATACACCCTAATACTTTATTGTTCATATTGCCTTAAAGACTCAGTATAAAAATAAGTATGCAATTTTAATTAAAAATATTTATATGATCATATCACGTTTTAAAGTCATTACAGAGTCATGTATGTATATTATATGAAATTTGTATACGAAATATTTTTTTGTATCATCCATATTTTTACAATATTTCAATAGATCCATACAAAACTCTCCACTGCACTTATTTTGCATATGAATTGTTACCGACAACGCATGGCAATAAAATAAATAAAAAATATTGACATTATTAAACATTCACCTTAATAAAAAATAACACGATTACAAATAACGTAAATTACTTCTTAAATATAATAATCAAATGCAATCTTACGTTCTCGTAAAGTGTTTCGTAATTTTACACGATGCACGTCAAGATACCTGATTATGAAGAAGTATGAATTCTTTGCCAATGAACGAATTCTCGAAGCATAAAAGAGTCTTCAAAAATCGAAAGCTCGCTATTCCAGTCCGTTTGTTATAATATTTCAGCCGACGGTGGCTTCAATCATCCCTCGAAGCGAAGTGATTTTGCGATATCGCCTTTTCGTGGAATTTCATGAATTGCCTGGTGTTTTTATGAAACGGTTTCACGACATCGTATTGAAAACCAATTGTATCTCGTTGGAATCGGTATTCAAACGTTTTCTTTTTGCAATCAGCAATGTCGGAACAACTATTTATTGTTTCGCGAGCTGAGAACGCAGAATGCATCGATTATTTTGAAGGCACGTTTCCATTAAGCTCAAAGGATTTTTTCACGATTTTCACGATACCGTGTTTTATGGGTTATTGTGATAGGTTAATTGTTTAACGACCGCAAATCGACTGGTTAAACCTGGTATATAATCTATTTATTACTTACTCTGTGACTGTCAGCCAAAATCTGTACGTGCTTTTGTACTAACTTAGTTTTTCAAACAGGAAAAGTGTCTTCAAATAGAAAAATATTACAGTCCTCCCCATCGGTTTAGGACCACGTACGAAAATTTTACTTTTATGGCTATAACATTATATGGAAAATTGTCTTAGGTCATGTAAATTATTACTGAATACGTTGATAAGGATATACGAGGTCTGTCCCAAAAGTATCCGACCTTCTTTAATTTCTTCGCACCTGACAATTTTAGTGTCATTTGCCGGGTATGAGTATCAACTGCAAAGCTTTACGAACTCCCACGATATCGTAGTTTCCGTCGGGACGCCTTAGTTCATGTGCAACGTGCATTTCTTTACGAAGCGTTTTTTACGTTCGTCGCATTCTGCTGTTGTGAAAAATGAGGGAAGGATCGGAGCAACGAATTTGCATCAAATTTTCCTTAAAACTCGAAAAGAGTTGTGCGGAAACCATCGATATGATGAAGAAGGCATTTGGGGATGAGTATATGAGCAACACACAAATCAAAGAGTGGTATAAGCGGTTCAAAGATGGCCGCACATCTGTTGATAGTAATCCACGCTCTGGGCGACCTTCCACGACAACAAGACTTAATAATATTGAACGTGTGCGACTTGCGATCAACGAAAATCGTCGATTGACTGTGCGAAAACTAGAATGTGATCTTGGAATACCGAAAACTAGTTTTGGCCTCAGTTTTGGTCAAGCGGTGATTGGCTTCTTCATCACGATAATGCGCCAGCGCATGCATCGAATCTTGTGCAGCAATATTTGACAAAGCACAAAGTCATACAGCTCCGTCAGCCTCCGTACAGTCCTGATGTAGCTTCCTGCGATTTTTGGTTGTTTCCAGAATTGAAAATGCCACTCAAAGAACACCGATTCGACGATAAAGAAACGGTCGAAACTAATACGATGAACGCTCTAAAGGCTATTCCGAAAAACGAGTTCCAGGACTGTTTCCATAAGTAGAAAGGTCGTTGGCAGAGTATTCTACAATCAAATAGGGACTACTTCGAAGGATGCCACCAGGCTGATGACGCAGGATAATACCAGCAAGGAAATATGAAGGAAGGTCGGATACTTTTGGGACAGACCTCGTATACATAGTATTTTGTTACTATCGTGACAATAAATTGTGTAAGTGACGAGCGATTAACCGTGCAAGCGTTAGGCCGAGTATCGATAGCGCGTCAGGTGAAATTTGAATGCCATAGAAAATGTCTGCCTACCAAAAGACTAGTTTACAACTCTCCAACCACATTATCTGAGTTGAAAAGAATTACAGATATTTGGGAAAATAATGAAGATATAAAGCATGTGATGTATACAGAGCATGCCGGAAGCTGTGACCAAAGCAAAGGGTGGAAATACAAGATATTAACGTGTGTTTATGCGTTAATAATGTTATGTACAATAGTAATGTTAGTAGCTAATAAATTACTACAATTTGAACAGGCCTTTTAATTTTACAGAGTTTAGTTATTTCAAATTTTTCTCAATGAAGAAAATTTATTTCTCCACGATACTTCAAAGTATTTGAATGCTTTTAAAATACTTTTCTAAAATGGTCAATGTTCTATGTATATTCAGTTCTTTATTTGTTAGAGAGATTTTCAGACAAAATCGTTGGTGGACGAGATTGCTAATCAATTGTTCTCGAATTGTATACATGACGAGACTCGTCTAGTTGACTATTGTTGAAAAGCAACAGTACACGCAAGTGATAGAACTCCACAATAGACTTCCTACAAAACGTAGTTTCAACTGCGTAGAAAAACCTAATTCGATATTTCCATTTCACTTTGTCACAAAGAAATGCTGAACTTCGGTAATAAAACAGATAATACGTCTCTAAAAACTATAACAATATTTAATATTAATAATATTAAATTTAAACTGCACAAAAGCTTCACATTGCCATCACTGCATATTAAACAATTACTTATTAAATAGAAGACTCGATTTTCTTTATTAATTAAAGAACGATTTTTTCGAAATAATGACTTATGAACTTGTGTCGTGGATTTCTTGACTTTAATTTTTTTCAAGTCATCTTTTTTGCAGAAGAAATATTTTAAGAAAATGTAACAATATCGCGATAGCAATTATTGAATATAATTTAATTTTTTATAGTACAATTAATTATTAAAAATGGACCAGAATTTAGCATTTCGGTAGATAATATCAGATATGAAAGAAATTCATTCGCCATACGCTGTACACGGCTGTAAGTATTGATCTTGGCAATCATAAATTGAAGTTCTTTTTATGCTCTCCAATAACATTGTTTTATTATAATCCCATTAGCATTTTATTACTTCTCGTTACAGTACAGCATGTTGTACTTATTAAGAAATAAATTTTTTAACGCGCGAATGATCGATATCATCGTGACTGTATACTAGGGACTTTCATAGAAACTTTTCAAGTTACATTCGTTCATCTCACTTATATTTATTATAGCTTATTGTAGTTTATTACAGCTTAACTCCTTTCGCAAACTTTTAAAATTTTCAAATCCCAAATTTTTAAAATTTGTTGATTTCTAAATTTTTATATTTTCAAATTTCCAACTTTCTAAATTTGTAAATGATTAAACTCTTATTATTTTCAAATTTCCAACTTTCTAAATTTGTAAATGATTAAACTCTTATATTTTTAAATTTCCAACTTTCTAAATTTGTAAATGATTAAACTCTTATATTTTCAAATTTCTAATTTTCCAGATATTCACATTTTCAAATCTACTTTCTAGATTTCGAAATTTTTAAACTATTACATTTTCAGACCATTTTCAATTTCCAAAATTTTCTCAAATGTAAATAAGATTTTCTAGCTTTTCACATTTCTGAGTCCCAAATACCCAAATTCACAAATCTTCGAATTCCCATATTTTCATACTTCCAGACTTTACTTCCCTAAATTTCTGAATCACCATAAGTGGACTTTGAAAAATTTGTTAAAAATACGGGTAAAATATTTTTCAAGTTCTACAGCATAAAAGTTTTATCAAAATCGTGCAACGTTCGGTGGAGTCCCTTCTAAGTACCTTACCATCTAAAGTTCGATCTCGAAAATCACGCGAAAACGGGTCAATACAGGAACAAAATATTTAAGTAACGGAATGCTTTTTGATGTACTAAAAACAACCATAATTTCCCTACCTTGATACAAGAAGTCAACTCAGCTATGTTATATAAAATATGAAATTACCAAAATAATTAGTATTTGTTTAATCTTAAAAATATAAATGTTCGTTTAACAGAGCAAAATATACATAGTAAAATATTCAATTTCTTTACTTTTGAATAATTGCTAATTAAAATTCAATTTCCTTAACTTATGACGGTTCTTAACTTGCGGATGGGTCGAATTGTCCCAGGCTTTACTACACTTGAGATCTTCCACTTAATCAAGCTCCACTTTA